ACAAAAACACAATACATAGAAGCTGGTGCCAGGCCTATATCACTACATAGAAGCTGGTACCAGGCCTATATCACTACATAGAAGCTGGTGCCAGGCCTATATCACTACATAGAAGCTGGTACCAGGCCTATATCACTACATAGAAGCTGGTGCCAGGCCTATATCACTACATAGAAGCTGGTACCAGGCCTATATCACTACATAGAAGCTGGTACCAGGCCTATATCACTACATAGAAGCTGGTGCCAGGCCCATATCACTACATAGAAGCTGGTACCAGGCCTATATCACTACATAGAAGCTGGTACCAGGCCTATATCACTACATAGAAGCTGGTGCCAGGCCCATATCACTACATAGAAGCTGGTACCAGGCCTATATCACTACATAGAAGCTGGTACCAGGCCTATATCACTACATAGAAGCTGGTACCAGGCCTATATCACTACATAGAAGCTGGTGCCAGGCCTATATCACTACATAGAAGCTGGTACCAGGCCAATATCACTACATAGAAGCTGGTGCCAGGCCTATATCACTGCATAGAAGCTGGTGCCAGGCCTATATCACTACATAGAAGCTGGTGCCAGGCCTATATCACTACATAGAAGCTGGTCCCAGGCCTATATCACTACATAGAAGCTGGTGCCAGGCCTATATCACTACATAGAAGCTGGTACCAGGCCTATATCACTACATAGAAGCTGGTGCCAGGCCTATATCACTACATAGAAGCTGGTGCCAGGCCTATATCACTACACAGAAGCTGGTGCCAGGCCTATATCACTACATAGAAGCTGGTGCCAGGCCTATATCACTACATAGAAGCTGGTGCCAGGCGTATATCACTACAGAGGACTAGCGCAAGGATCGTGTCACTACAGAAACAGGAAAGGAATTTCCGGTTAAAATGGTGCTACTCATATCTAACACTGGCTTGTAAATATTATCTACCAAGCTGGCTGGACAGTACTGTTCAACAACTACTTCACTAAGTATATGTAGGCACAATTGTTGTTTGTTTGTTGTTTAATGCCGCCCTCAGCAATATTCCAGCTATATGGCGGCGGTCTCTAAATAATCGAGTCTGGACCAGGCAATCCAGTGATCAACAGCATGGACATCCATCCACGCAATTGGGAACCTATGACATGTCAAGTCAACGAGCCTGACCATCCGACCCCGTTAGTCGTCTCTTACGACAAGCATGGGTTTCTGAAGATCAGTTCTAACCTGGATCTTCACGGGTATATACAAAACTGATGTTGTCCGGGGATTATGTGCAGATTGGTCCTGGATGTGCTTCGAATGTGTTATCTATCACATATCACACCACCACCACAATTGAAAAATGAATATTTTTTTAAAAAAGAAGAGCCAAATGCCACAGTCAGCAATATTCCAACAGTTTCTGTATGACGGCGGTCTGTTAATAATCGAGTCTGAACCAGACAACTGAGATCCATGCCCTGCAACGACGAAGACCACGTGCAAAACAAACCTTGAAGCGTATACACTGTTTGTGACAGTTGGAATTAATCACAAAACTGTGTCGATCATCAAAACAACAGTTTTGTGATTCAGGGAATGCATTGGTATTACTGACAATCAAGCTTCCGGCCTGGCTACATGCGTGTGATGTCCGACAACAATGTTGATTGTTTTGTTTGGGTTTTTTTTGGGTTTTTTATTGGTTCCCTAAGATTACAATATTGCAGATATACCAAGCCGTGATACGTACGGCTTAAAGAAATATATGGCTACATGATGTACAGGTGAGATATATTTGTATTAATATATTTATAAACATGCATAATTCATTAAATAGATAATGTACAGATGTACAGGTGAGATATTTTTGTATTAATATATATATATATATAATGTTGATTGTTGCCCAACTTGAAACTAAGAACAAGACAGATTAATCTTGTTAAAACGTAAAATAGACATTTTATTATATTTCTGCCGTCCGTCTGTAGACAGCCATTCTGCGCATGTGTCTGGAGACTGTTGAGCATCATGTTGCACGTGCTTGACTAGCAAGGAACTGTATCTCATACCCGAGAATCTGTGCCAAGGGTATCACACCAGGTCTGAAATCACACAGCCGTAAAATGGTGATATATAAATAGGACTTGTAGTTTTAAACTTGTCTACATCAGTTAAGTTCAAGTATTCAGCGTGATGCATATCATGGTCTGGCTAGGATCCGTCTTGTCATAGTGTCGCTGAAGGTCCGGTTCGCATCCATCTACTTCTCAAAACATTAAGTACGAGTTTCAATGTTCCTGTAGTTTTTCAGTCGGGGACAGTAAGGTGATCAGATCCACGTCCCCTGTTCACCAGGCAGCTGACGTGTTATCTGCGCTCTTGCCCAAGTCACTTTGTGACCTAGGCCTCTTTTTAAGGGGGCGGTGGGGTAGCCTAGTGGTTAAAGCGTTGGCTCGTCACGCCGAAGACCCGGGTTCGAATCCCCACATGGGTACAATGTGTGGGGCCCATTTCTGGTGTCCCCCACCGTGATGTTGCTGGAATATTGCTTAAAGCGGCGTAAAATCAAACTCAGTCAGTCAGTCAGTCAGTTTTTTTAAGTTATATAAGTTGGTGAAACCTGAGTTCGGTTAAACTCCACTATGAACAATACTTCTGTGTCAGGTCTGTCAGCTTGGCTATTGTCGACGCATCCGACTTAACTAAGTCATTCAGATCCTAAAGGTTTACTACCAGTGTGCGAAATAGCCGGTCACCTGACCCTACCCCGGCACAAGGTGCGTGCATTACTTTACAGTGCAGAAGAAATTTTTCAATAATTTTTAATGAAAGTATATGTTCAAATAAAACTGCTGTATGGTTATCGACGAAACGTACACGAATGTTTGTAACCTTGAAATGCACCCAGTCCGTCTGCATCATGAGTTCATCATGGTGGCGCGTGCAGACCGTGTTCTTGCAGCATTCGCCGGGATGTGGCCAAGTACTCCCATGTCCGTCAACTGTCAGGTACGACCATAATCAAGTATGTGGATACACTATGAACAATACTTCTGTGTCAGGTCTGTCAGCTTGGCTATTGTCGACGCATCCGACTTAACTAAGTCATTCAGATCCTAAAGGTTTACTACCAGTGTGCGAAATAGCCACTGGCCCGCTAGTCCGTGGCTAGTAAAAATCCAGTCGTGCCAGTAAATCTCCACAGTCACTTGCCCGGCTGGCTGGTGAATTTTCAAGGAACCATTTTGTAAATATATCAATCTCTCCGACTTGCTACGTTATAATACACTTTTAAATCATGCAAAATCATGATAAAAATGTTCATCATATTACCCGTGAAACCCGTGTCTGTATTGAAATTTCGGGCTAGTGAATTACTTTGTGGGCTAGTAACTTTCAGGCACAGCTAGACCGACTGGCTAGCAAACTTTGTAAACTATTTGGCACACTGTTTACTGCCTCAGTGAAACCCTCGAGCACTGGATGCTGAAGAAGCTGGAAACATGGGATTCGAACCCTGTTGTAGGTTTCTGACTTGAAGATCGCAGCTGGGGAGCATCGCTGCTAAAGTTAAAGGGTTGCAGATGCCCACAGTTAATGAACCACTTCCCAACAGGACGTTGATCGGCACATTGTCTTATTCTGGGCCTTGAAAGCACATCTTTTTTTGATATCATGAAAGTGACTGCAATTAACAATTGTTATTTCGAATAGGATGAACATAACATGCTTTGGAGGTAGAGCTAAGTTACTGCACTATGTACCCGTGGAGACCCGGGTTAGAATTGGTGTTCTGGTCCAGCCTCGATTATTTACATACTGTCGCCGAATATTGCTCAGTGCGGCGTTAAACAATAAACAATCAAAACAAATACTGTACTCGAAATATATGATACCATATCTGCGAAGACATCAACCTTGACGTCATTAATGTAAGCTTCAACCTGAAACAGTGAACCGTTGTTTTGGTAGAAGCAATTCAACCATGTATAGTCTGTTTGCATTGAAAACGTACCGATGAATTTCACTTTAAACAAAAAAGTAAATCAAATAAAGTGAAATTTAACAAACGATCATAGATTCAAATCGCTATTACTGGATTGTATTACAAGGGGGTAAGCGCAGTAGTTGGAACAGTGAAACAAATGCAAGTGCGGTACGTGAAGAGCGTTAACTTATAACAACCCTTGTCGTTTTCGGTGTTTCATTTGACGTGCATACCCCTTGTAATACAAACCAATAATAGCCATGTGAAACTATGATCGTTTGTTAAACAACCTTTATCCTAAGTCGAATAAAATTCTGAGATTTAAATGTTTAATTGGCAAGGTAAAATCATGAGGATTCGCAGTCTTAATTTCACTTTATTGTTTTACTTTTGGGTAAAGTGATAAAGTGACATTTATCGGTACGTTTTCACTGCAAACAGACTATAGTCATAGCGAATGAGTATTGGTTTACCCCGTTTTAGCTACATTCCAGCCAGATCACGGCATGATAAGCGAACGCTTCAACCACTTGGCTACCTGGCAGCTCCTATCAGAACGCGGATGAAGAGATCCGTTAAACCATAACCTCATTCCCTGGTAGAGATCTTCTAGTCCATGTTGTCACAAATCAAAGAGGAAGACCATGTACGGTGTCACAATTCTGCACTTAAATACGGCGATATCAAATCTGACGGATGTCTTATTAAAGATAACATCACAGTATCTCTTGCATTTTCTTCTAACTGGACCTTCGAGAGAAATATGTCAGCTAAGCCTAAATGATCTCAATGAAACAGGAGCAACTATTTGCAAATATGTCGACTGCTGCCACGAAGGTGCCCTTGCATTTTTGACTACCAGCTTACTGTTCAGTCGTGTCGCATATCTATCATAGATTTCACCGTAGGTGCCGACGCCGTAAGGCCGCTATCGCTTCAGATTAAGACTTGTTTACCAATCTGCGCTGTGGCACCGAAACTTCACAAATTTTGGAACAGAGTATAGTTGGAAGCAAAATGGCTGAGTGTAGTTGCGAAGGAATTTCTCAAGCCTGATGTTGCAATGCGGATAGTCATGGATAGCACGAGCTCGGACCATAGTCCGCCTCTCAGTGAGAACGCTGGCAGCTCCTGGGCTAATTGGGAAAATGAATTAAGCTCTGTGTCAGGACTAAACTTAGGTAAGTCCCTTGTCCTGACTTGCTTTCTTCGTACGTCTTAGTTCTACCCCAACTTCCTCCATCCACGGACTTGTGTTTTGTGGAATTTGTGAGTTTGATAAAACACCACGCCATCAAACCTGGTGTTTGTATCCCAATACGTGTTTATATGTTGTCTAAATTGGACCTTTTTATACCAAACAAACACCTCATCCAAACTTATCCCAACTTTATTGCGTGACGCCAGAAAAGTTGTGACATGCTCAGTCCAATCCCCCGACAACATATTTTCATAGAAATATGTCGCGTAAAAAAACCTTCAAATTCCAGACCTGATAATTCCCGAGGAACCTGTTTATAAAGGGTATGACAAGACGTGTGTGGGAGACAATTCCAAGTGTGGAAGACATAGTGTGATATCCAACTTGCTCCTGGCCTACTAGCTTCGACCTACTTAATGTAGCAGAGCTGGGATATCCTCAAGCAAAACACTTCGTTGAGGTCACTGTGACATGATTCCAGAAGTTATTTAAGAAATGGCTGTAAAGCATTGGGAATTTGTTTCACTACCCAGCTAGGAGTGGGTTGTCATTTGTAAACATGCTACTAACTGTTACAACCCATGACATCTGTTAATAACTCATTCAACATGGTTGAAACTGGACAGGTATTTTGGCAGGTATGCTATTCATGTTTTGCCTGTATTTGGACTCCATTGGTCACTGATTATATTTACATTGATGTCTCCAAACACATAATGTGAATGTTTCCACTTAAATGTTATTTGTTTCTGTAACCATGGCGACCAGACCAATTGCACATTTGCAGCGTGAATACTTTTCTCCTGCCTGTATCCATTCCAAACTCATCCAAGCTTGAAAACAGTGATGTGGTTCTTGCTGCCAATGTATATATATTAAAGCCAAGAAAAATGGCAGTTATTGTAATGAAACTATTCAATGAACTGTTTCAGCTATTGACAGGGATAATGCTTTGAATACTGAGTTAGAATGAGTCCCTAGCAACCTTGCTTGGTTGTAACTTGGCAACATGACACTCCCTGACTTGGTTGATTTCATAGTCATAAACACATGCTCTGTCATCGTATCACTGGATTGTCTGGTCCAGTCTCGATTTGTTTACAAACAACATCATACTCCTGTAATACTGCTGAAACAAATATATGCATACCGTATAGCGGTCTTTAAGTGTGTTGTCAGAGGGATGTGTGATAACTTAGTGATGTCTTGTTATTATGTTGATATGGTATAATACACTATATAGCAGTCTTTAAGTGTGTTGTCAGAGGGATGTGTGATAACATAGTGATGTCTTGATACTATGTTGATATGGTATAATACACTATATAGCAGTCTTTAAGTGTGGTGTTGTCAGAGGGATGTGTGATAACATTGTGATGTCTTATTGCTATGTTGATATGGTATAATACACTATATAGCGTCTTTAAGTGTGTTCTAAGAGGGATGTGTGATAAAATTGTGATGTCTTGTTACTATGTTGATATTGTATAATTCACTATATAGCAGTCTTTAAGTGTGTTGTCAGAGGGATGTGTGATAACATAGTGATGTCTTGATACTATGTTGATATGGTAAAATACACTATATAGCAGCCTTTAAGTGTGGTGTTGTCAGAGGGATGTGTGATAACATTGTGATGTCTTATTGCTATGCTGATATGGTATAATACACTATATAGCGTATTGAAGTGTGTTATCAGAGGGATGTGTGATAACATGGTGATGTCTTGTTACTATGTTGATATGGTATAATTCACTATATAGCAGTCTTTAAGTGCGTTGTCAGAAGGATGTGTGATAACATTGTGATGTCTTATTGCTATGTTGATATGGTATAATACACTATATAGCGTCTTTAAGTGTGTTGTCAGAGGGATGTGTGATAACATTGTGATGTCTTATTGCTCTGTTGATATGGTATAATACACTATATAGCAGTTTTTAAGTGTGTTGTTGTCAGAGGGATGTGTGATAACATAGTGATGTCTTGTTGCTATGTTGATATGGTACAATACACTATATAGCAGTCTTTAAGTGTGTTGTCAGAGGGATGTGTGATAACATAGTGATGTCTTGTTGCTACGTTGATATGGTACAATACACTATATAGGAGTCTTTAAGTGTGTTGTCAGAGGGATGTGTGATAACATAGTGATGTCTTGTTGCTATGTTGATATGGTACAATACACTATATAGCAGTCTTTAAGTGTGTTCTCAGAGGGATGTGTGATAACATAGTGATGTCTTGTTGCTATGTTGATATGGTATAATACACTATATAGCAGTCTTTAAGTGTGTTCTCAGAGGGATGTGTGATAACATAGTGATGTCTTGTTGCTACGTTGATATGGTACAATACACTATATAGCAGTCTTTAAGTGTGTTGTCAGAGGGATTTGTGATAACATAGTGATGTCTTGATACTATGTTGATATGGTAAAATACACTATATAGCAGCCTTTAAGTGTGGTGTTGTCAGAGGGATGTGTGATAACATTGTGATGTCTTATTGCTATGTTGATATGGTATAATACACTATATAGCGTATTGAAGTGTGTTATCAGAGGGATGTGTGATAACATGGTGATGTCTTGTTACTATGTTGATATGGTATAATTCACTATATAGCAGTCTTTAAGTGCGTTGTCAGAAGGATGTGTGATAACATTGTGATGTCTTATTGCTATGTTGATATGGTATAATACACTATATAGCGTCTTTAAGTGTGTTGTCAGAGGGATGTGTGATAACATAGTGATGTCTTGATACTATGTTGATATGGTAAAATACACTATATAGCAGCCTTTAAGTGTGGTGTTGTCAGAGGGATGTGTGATAACATTGTGATGTCTTATTGCTATGTTGATATGGTATAATACACTATATAGCGTATTTAAGTGTGTTCTAAGAGGGATGTGTGATAACATTGTGATGTCTTGTTGCTATGTTGATATGGTACAATACACTATATAGCAGTTTTTAAGTGTGTTGTTGTCAGAGGGATGTGTGATAACATAGTGATGTCTTGTTGCTATGTTGATATGGTACAATACACTATATAGCAGTCTTTAAGTGTGTAGTCAGAGGGATGTGTGATAACATAGTGATGTCTTGTTCCTATGTTGATATGGTACAATACACTATATAGGAGTCTTTAAGTGTGTTGTCAGAGGGATGTGTGATAACATAGTGATGTCTTGTTGCTATGTTGATATGGTACAATACACTATATAGCAGTCTTTAAGTGTGTTGTCAGAGGGATGTGTGATAACATAGTGATGTCTTGTTGCTATGTTGATATGGTATAATACACTATATAGCAGTCTTTAAGTGTGTTCTCAGAGGGATGTGTGATAACATAGTGATGTCTTGTTGCTTTGTTGATATGGTACAATACACTATATAGCAGTTTTTAAGTGTGTTGTCAGAGGGATGTGTGATAACATAGTGATGTGTTGTTACTATGTTGATATGGTACAATACACTATATAGCAGTCTTTAAGTGTGTTGTCAGAGGGATGTGTGATAACATAGTGATGTCTTGTTACTATGTTGATATGGTATAATTCACTATATAGCAGTCTTTAAGTGTGTTGTCAGAGGGATCTGTGATAACATAGTGATGTTTTGTTACTATGTTGATATGGTATAATACACTATATAGCAGTCCTGTAAGTGTGTTGTCAGAGGGATGTGTGATAACATTGTGATTATGGTATAATACACTATATAGCAGTCTTTAAGTGTGTTCTCAGAGGGATCTGTGATAACATAGTGATGTCTTGTTACTATGTTGATATGGTACAATACACTATATAGCAGTCTTTAAGTGTGTTGTTGTCAGAGGGATTTGTGATAACATTGTGATGTCTTGTTACTATGTTGATATGGTACAATACACTATATAGTAGTCCTGTAAGTGTGTTGTCAGAGGGATGTGTGATAACATAGTGATGTCTTGTTACTATGTTGATAAGGTATAATACACTATATAGCAATCTTTCAGTGTGTTGTCAGAGGGATGTGTGATAACATAGTGATGTCTTGTTGCTACGTTGATATGGTACAATACACTATATAGCAGTCTTTAAGTGTGTTGTCAGAGGGATGTGTGATAACATAGTGATGTCTTGTTGCTATGTTGATATGGTACAATACACTATATAGGAGTCTTTAAGTGTGTTGTCAGAGGGATCTGTGATAACATAGTGATGTTTTGTTACTATGTTGATATGGTATAATACACTATATAGCAGTCCTGTAAGTGTGTTGTCAGAGGGATGTGTGATAACATTGTGATTATGGTATAATACACTATATAGCAGTCTTTAAGTGTGTTCTCAGAGGGATCTGTGATAACATAGTGATGTCTTGTTACTATGTTGATATGGTACAATACACTATATAGCAGTCTTTAAGTGTGTTGTTGTCAGAGGGATTTGTGATAACATTGTGATGTCTTGTTACTATGTTGATATGGTACAATACACTATATAGTAGTCCTGTAAGTGTGTTGTCAGAGGGATGTGTGATAACATAGTGATGTCTTGTTACTATGTTGATAAGGTATAATACACTATATACCGGTCTTTAAGTGTGGTGTTGTCACAGGGATGTGTGATAACATAGTGATGTGTTGTTACTATGTTGATATGGTACAATACACTATATAGCGGTCTTTAAGTGTGTTGTCAGAGGGATGTGTGATAACATAGTGATGTCTTGTTACTATGTTGATATGGTATAATTCACTATATAGCAGTCTTTAAGTGTGTTGTCAGAGGGATCTGTGATAACATAGTGATGTTTTGTTACTATGTTGATATGGTATAATACACTATATAGCAGTCCTGTAAGTGTGTTGTCAGAGGGATGTGTGATAACATTGTGATTATGGTATAATACACTATATAGCAGTCTTTAAGTGTGTGTTTCAGAGGGATCTGTGATAACATAGTGATGTCTTGTTACTATGTTGATA